GCTTCATGGCCTCAGCAGGGGCTACGATGCCTGCAGTTTTCACCGAGCTGTGCCTTCACACACACACGTGACATAAGTTTTGCTTTTCAGCAGCTTGAGGTGCAGTGTCCCAGAAACCCCTGGACCTGTCTCCTTGAAACTTGGGAGGCTTCGTGGCCTCAGCAGGGGCTACGATGCCTGCAGTTTTCACCGAGCTGTGCCTTCACACACACACGTGACATAAGTTTTGCTTTTCAGCAGCTTGAGGTGCAGTGTCCCAGAAACCCCTGGACCTGTCTCCTTGAAACTTGGCAGGCTTTGTGGCCTCAGCAGGGGCTTCCATCCCTGCAGTTTTCACCATGCTGTGCCTTAACACACATACATGACACAAGTTTTGCTTTCAAGAATTTGAGGTGCAGTTTCCCAGAAACCCCTGCATCTATGTCCTTGAAACTTGGCAGGCTTCATGTCCTCAGAAGGAGCTACTGTCCCTGCAAATTCCATTTGAATCAAGCAAGAACTGACAAAGTTATAGGCAGTTTCATGGTTCCTCATTATAGCCTATGGGCGAAACGTCAAAACAGCAAAACAGTTTCAACTAAAAGAAACAGAACAGTGGTTTCGAAACTAAATGAAACTCGAAACGAAACACTGTCCCATTGAAACGGAAGTCGAAACAAAATGGTGCTGTTTTGCGCAGCCCTAGTAGCTAGTCACTATCCCACTGCTTTATTATACCCCACTCATGATTTGTTGTCCTGACTCAAATGAATCCAAATTTTGGGCAGGTCAATCTCTTGCACTTATAGTTTGCACAGCTTCCAGATGCTGCTACTTTTCTCAGTTGAAGTGACCACTGCTATGGCGAGGGATTAGGAAGTCCTCACTGCAGTTCTTTTTCTGGACTACAATTTGCCCTCAGTGGCATCAGCCCAAGCAGTTATCATCATTGCCACTCCCAGTCCTCCTCATTCTTGTACTGAAGCTGCACTCCTGTCAAAGGGTCTTGGCTTTCCAGACTACCTCAAAGCAGCATTTACAATATTACAGGGATCAGTAATATACAGGATCCCACTAAGATTTTACCACCAAAGATAATCATTCTTATATGCAGTTTTAGTCCTTTCTACCTAGCAATGGATTAGTAAGATCAGAAAACAGCAGAGCTGGAAAAGACATCAGGAAACCCTCTAGTCCAGCCCCCCATAATTTTCTACCAAAACAAACACCACCACAATCAATTTGTTCTCTGTCCCCAGGATTCCTTGACCCTACCACTCGAGAATGCAGCCTTGGTTATGGTGACTCCTGACCTCATTTGACATTATTCACTTGTCACCTGTTTGATGTTGTGAATGCTGTATCTATGGCAGAATGCAGCTGACCTTTTGAACGTGAGACTTGTCTGCTTTCTTTCTTGTCTTTTTACCTCCATTTTGAGGTATAATTCCAAGAAAAGGGGGTTACTTAACCTTAAGTAGTCATCTAATCAAATGCTAAAGTCTTGGAGAAGGAGTTGGCTACCACTCCAGAGAATTGCTTTTTTAGATCTGAATTCTAAGTACATAAAGCTGTTGAAGGATAACAATCACCCAGCCTAGTGAAGTTAATAAGGAGGGCACCTGGCAAAAGATTATGTCATTACCCATTTTAATGCACGAAGGAAGAGATCAGAAAAGGAAGCTAGCTGAAGGAGTGGGAGGAGACTCCAAGTTCTGAAGGAAAAGCGGAATGGAAGTATGCTAACTTTTTTTGAAAGATACTGACATAAGGCCAAATACCCGTGAGAAAGCTGAGGATGGAAAATGCATATGCATAACTTACTGTTTGGCCTAGAAGAGTATTCCTCTTATGTCGTCTGAACTAAAGACAATGCATTCTGGAATCCCTTTTGTGAATTTGCATGTTATGCATTTTATTTATCATGTCAAGGGGAGGTAAACAGGAAAACAGAATATCCTCAAAGGTGGGGTAAATAGTATATTTATATAGCTGGGGCAGGGACATCACTAATCTCAGGGCCTATGCCTTTGGACCATCATGGAGCATCAGATGTCCAGATGCAGTGGCTCAGGCTAGAAGCTGGGAGGCACTAGAGCAGCCCTCCCTTCCCTTCTACAGTACTGAGCTAAGGCAGGGGGTGGGGGGGAAGGAGATTGTGGCCAGGCCCTGGCAGGACATTCTGATTAGCCCAGCAGGAAATTGATAATACTGTTTAGGGAGGCCGCCCAAAGGCCGGTCCTGGAGAGGAGCAGAGAGGGGTCAGTTCCCTGCAGGCTGCAGGGAGAGAGGAGCGGCTGAGCATCTCGGCAGGCAGAAACTGCTGAACGTGCCTGAGGAATGCTGCAAGAGTGACCCTGAGGCAGGTGGAGGCCTGCACACATGCGGCCAGTGGTATTCTCTGGAGCGAATCTGCAGCTGGGGATCTGGAGTGAGGGAGTCCCAAGGCCTGAGAGAATCTCCAGACTGGAGTTTTTCAACAGAGGATCCGGAGGAGGGCCCGAGGGGAAAAAAAACCCCTACAGCCACAGGTAGACCCTTCGTGCACATGGGGGAAACTCCAAAGAGACTGTGAATGCTCATAGGGGTGCAGGGTAGGTTAGCACATAGCAAAGAATGGACTAAGGGATTTTTGTCTCTGGATTATGGTGTTTGGGATCTTGAGCACCTGATCATGAGTAAAAGGTACATTTCTGGAGCCTGACAAGAAGGCTGAGAAGCAGCCGGAGAGTTCTATGCGTTTTTTTGCTGTTTCTTTTGATTTTCTTGAGCATAGGCCAAGACTAGCCCCTGGAAGGGTATACCCAAAAGAGGCCCAAGGCCACCCTGGGGTAGAGGGCCAAAATAAGGCCACAACAGGCAGCACTGTGATTTGGCTGTGGAAGAATATTGTGAACACCATCTGGAGAGACTAGGCTGGGGTAAAGGGGAGGTTTTGGAGCCCCACAGAAGAAACAGGGATCAAGAGCAGGCAGGATCACCACGGGCAGTGCCTCCCGGGAATATATGCGTTATCAAAGTCGTGGCAGGAGAGAAAACATAAGATCTACTTCCTGGCAGACCAGGTGATCCAGAGCCAAGGTCCACCCTGTCACCACCTGTAGGCAGACGAGCTCAGGGCAGTGCTAGCAAGCCCTATAATACCTACAGTCATCACAGTGGCTTATTCAGGAGAGGAGGAGGGCTGCTGCCCTCTGTGCAGGCAAGGAGACCCCCCGTGCGGATCTCTGATCCCCATCACGCTGGGTCACAGGTCAGGGAAACATCGCAGAGCGGTGAGCAAGCCTGCTGGTCCCTGCTGCACAACTCGGCTTCGCGGGGAGCAGAGATCCACGCTGGGGGTCTCCTTACCACCACTGCCCACCCCAAGCTGCCATGGCGTATCATGGCAGGGCAGTGTGGGTTCGTGCTGCATAACCCAGCTCTGTGGGGAACAGAGATCTGGGGCAGTGCAGGGCAGACAGCGCCAGTGAGGAGACCCCCGGCGTGGATTTCTGCTTCCTGTGGAGCCAGGTCATGTGGCAGGGACCAGCACTGCCCTGCCATGCAACCTGGCTCTGCAGGGAGTAGAGCTCCGTGCCAGGGGTTTCCTTGCCGCTGCTGCCGGCCCCACACTGCCCCAGATCTCTGCTCCCTGCAGAGCCAGGTTATGCGGCATGGACCCACACTGCCCTGCCATGCGACCTGGCTCCTCAATGCGACCTGGCTCCTCAGGGAGCAGGATTCTGTGTCGGGGGTCTCCTTGCCACCACTGCCTACCCCGTACAGCCACGCATCACTGGGGAAGTGTGGGGTGGGCAGTGGTGGCGAGGAGACCCCTGGTGTGGATCTTTGCTCCCCAGGGACCTGAGTTACGCAGCAGGCCAGCAGCGTACAGCTGTTTCCCTGCAAGCCCTGCTCTGAAACACCAACATTTTCGGAAACATTTCTGAAATTTTTTGGATGCCTCTTTTTGTTTTGGAGATGTTTTGGAGCCTTCTGTTTCGATTCAGATTTGGTGTTTCCGGCACCGAAATGGCCCGAAACACCTCCGAAATGAAACAGCTGCCAGAATTTCACACAGCCCTAGTGCGCCTATGCTCAGACTTAAGAAACTTAAAAGCAAACAGGTGCAAGCAGGATGGGACCCAAATACAGCATTCAGGTGAACATACAGCAAGGAAAGCTTCTTCATGGCTGGGATACCATAGGAGAGACCTTTCTTCAACCTCCTGAATATGTCCAGCTGGCTTCCGGATTGGTTAGAACTGGTCAAGATTCTGACTCCAAAAATTCCTCCTACACTAAAAGACAGAATTGGAATCATCCTCTATCAGTGGATCTGGGTCCCTTAGAACAAAGGAGCCTTCATGATCCAGGAGGCCTTGGCAATGTCAGGACATATACATTCCCCTATACAGCAAAGAGATGGGCTGTTTGCACTAAGAGTTTTAGTGCTTTTTAAATCAGGTCCATAATTAACTACCACATTAATCCCATTGCTTTCCAATGTTGCCTTGAAATCATAATGGACCATCATTTCAGTAGAATCAGGCCCTATACATGTTAATATATACATATTTGTGTGTGTGTTTAATGTCAATTAGAACCAGCTTCAAATGTTTTGCAAATACATTCTTTAAAAGATATTTCCATTCCTCATTACAAATCTTATGGCCTCAAATGGTCAGACCAGTTCTAGTTGCTGTAATGTGATCCTAAAGCACTTTGCAAACTGTTTATATAAAGAGATGGCTTCATTTACCCTACACTTGTTTTATTATAGTCTTCTTGGCACATGCATAAAATTGTCAAAACTAAAATTATAAATACTTTGGTCTTGAGGTTTCCCAGTGTTAAAACAGAGCTTTAACGTAGAAATGTGTTGGTTGTAGCAAAAATCTTTGGTCTCTGGGTTCTAATATAAATTAGAAAATTAAAAATAGCTGAAAAATTTAAAACACTGAAGTTTCCATTGGTTCCTTTTCAGTTAGACATGTGCGCATGGATAATTAACATGGATTATTTTTCACTTTCTTTAGTCACCACCTTTAAATTGTACCAGCGTGCTAAGCATGTGTACAGTGAAGCTGCCAGAGTGCTGGAGTTTAAGAAGATATGTAGTGAGGCACCTGCCAATGCAATCCAGCTGCTGGGAGAATTAATGAACCAGAGTCATATCAGCTGCAGGGACATGTATGAATGCAGCTGTCCTGAACTGGATCAGCTGGTGGACATCTGCCTGTAAGTCCTGACAGCAATGAAAGTGAACTTCAATTGAGAATATGGTTTGAATTGATGAGAAAATACAACCTCATTAAGCTGTGGTAATTTAAAAATAGTTTCCTTCAGGGACATTTATATGGTCAAATGTTTACCCACTGACATCTGAGTAATGCTTATCAGATGAAGAACATTGTTTATAGGGTTACAGTGGACTGGGGGTTCAGATTGACTGCTCATCAAAATTCTCACAGTCTATTAAACTGACTTTTCCTTGTGAAGATTTCAGAAGAGGTCACTATTAGTTTTCTCATTTGTTATATATTCTATTTATCTTTTCCTTAACAAACCACTGCTGGCCACAATTGCAGTGTATTCTTTAATGTTCTGATGTTGCCTTAAAATCATAATGCAACATCATGAAAAGTCTGGTGCACTTTGACTGAAGTCCTCAAATGCTAGACTACAGACAAATGGTTAAATACTGAGTATGTTTTAGTACAGCTTTTACAAGAACTAACAGAGACAGCTGCCAAAATGTACGGTCATTGTAAAAGAACTCATGCTGGTCTCCTGGTGTTCCTTTATGTTTTGAGGGTTGGAGATCTGGAATGAGGAGCTTTCTAAGCTGGCAGTGGGGTAGGCGCAGCACCTAAAATTCTTTGGGCTGACCCTGATTAGAAAATTCTTGAGGTGAAAACCATGCAAGGAGCTTATTAAACAATGGATGTTAGAGGTGGGGAATTTATTTCACATAGTATTAGCCATAGGTACAAACTGGAACCCAAACCCTGAAGAGCTTATATTCCAAATAAAAAAGGCATTTCAGAAAAGAGATGAGCTGAACCAGAAAACACAGGCGATCACGTATGCCATCCTGTTATTTTCACGATCTTTATCCATAGTGGAAGATGAGAACTGGTTATTACAGATAATTTACAAGGAAAAATACAATTAACTACATGGTATTTGCGGTTTAGCTTTATCCAGTACTACAGAACCAGCATATTAAACTAAATAGTTTGGTTCCACATAATTTTCATGTGTAACTCACATGTCTAGAGCATCCAGTGCATTGTTAGCAAAGATATCATTGTGCTGATTTTGATCAAAAGTCCCTGGCTATAGGAAGAGTTTAATGGATTCAGTATGGCTGTATGTAATAGTTATCTTAATAGTGGCCTTTGGGATGCATAATGGCTTGGGGTTAAGTAGTTAAACAAAGCTTTATTACCCCATCACGAGAGAAGTGTATAGTTATAATCATATAGTGCCATGGGAGCACCAGACATGGAGAGTTTGCAGGATTTATGTCATGAACTATAGTTTCATTGTCTTTAAAGAACCAAGGTATTCTGTGAGACAGTGTTGTGCAATTTGCACTCTTGCTTTCTAAAGAGCTAGAAACCTCATTGGTTTGAAGATTTCTGTACTGGTAACTACATTTTTCTTGTTAAAGTTCAAATAAAACTGGTGTATGGTGACAATACAAATGTCATCAACTGGCAATTTGACACAAGCTTTATCATCCATAAGGTAAGTTATCCTCATATGACTCCCATCCATCAAGACTGTAAATCTGTATTAGTTCTCGGGGTATGGAAATACCAGCAATTTACTATGGGGTAAAAAGGGACTGAGTTTTACTATGTGCCTGCCTACATACACACAATAAATAGAAGCGAAACCCGGAAAACCTTCTCTTTCACTGAAGACTAAGCTATCACAGTTTAGCTTCCGCTTACTGTGGAATAAGAACATATACAAGAACAGATGACAGAAATAGGGTAGGGTATAATGGATGGGGCTCTAAGTTTTTTGTATGATGATACCCTTTATACATAAAGGCAGAATGCAGAATAGAGTGGTACTTTACAGGCTAGCTTGTTCAGAGAGGCACAAATTTTTATAGCCTACTTTGTCAGATGCTACTTTGTCATTCACGGCAGTTGACAAAGTTGGCTGAAGCCTACAAAAGCTCATGCCTCATGAATGAGTTAGTCTAAGGCAGGGGAAGGCAATTATTTCAGGTGGAGGGCTGCTTACTGAGTTTTGGCAAGCCATTGAGGGCCACATGACAGGCAGCCAAGGGCAGATAAATATTTATTTTCTCAATTTTTTAGGGGCCCCGCAGGCCGGATAGCATGGCCTGGCGGGCCGCATCTGGCCCATGGGGCTGCATTTTGCCCACCCCTGGAAGGTGCCAGAATGTTTTGCCTTCTGCCTAACTTCAGACTATCACTAACTACTTCTCTCTCCTTATATATAATGTTAATGAACATAGCTATTTTTTTATGATAGCCTCTATTATGTTCAAAGTGCTTTCCAGGCAGACAAAAACTTACAACTCCAGGAATCTAATTAAAAACTTTAGAACATTTAAAAGATTCTTTCATGTATGAATTATGAGTTCCTAAGGTCCCTGGCAGACATTACACTGAGGACATTATTAACCTGATAATCACATCCTAAATAGTAATCTGCCACATGTTCAAAACAGAAAACCAACCACAAAATTATCCCACAAAAATGTGTGATATTTTTGGGGCTGGTTTCCATTGTGCCTTAAATTGAACATGCGGTAGGGTCTCCACCATGCAGCCTGAAGCCAGCTGCATGGCGAGGCTTGGCTGACAGTTCCCCCATGCCAGCAGGCTGACAGCCATGTGGTGCAGCCCTTCATGGGGTTGTACCCTGCTGTTTTCAGGGTGCTAATTCTAGGGGACCTCATCAGGTGGGCTGAGGTGCCAGATCATGGGCAGTCACGGAGCTCCCCACAATCCAGCAGACTACCTTGTGCTACAACTCCCAGAGACCTGCATGCCAAGGTACTTGACACATCCCAGCCACAAGGACCCTGGATCCCCATGTACCAGAATGTTTAAAAACCGCATGTGCAGCTGAGCTGCACACAAGGTTTTCTAATATCCCAGTGCATTTCGTTCTGGGAAAAGCCCAATTGTAGTCCCATCTGATTATCAATCCCAGCCCTGGGACTATACCAAGATCTTGAAATGGCAGTTTGTCAGTCCCAGTCCCTGGACTACACCAGTTCCCACCACATTGCAAGCACCCAGCTTTCAACTTGATGGTGCAGCGGGTGTCTGAGATTGTGATCCTGGGATCCCCCTGCATTGGCAAGTAGTAATAGCAGAATTAGGATCTGATTCCCAATCCCAAAATTGTACCTGTTGCCATGCACATGTGACATGGCAGGATGTGTGACTGTTGGGATCAGATCTCATCGTGCCATTAAATGAACCACTTGTGCCAGGTACCTGAGATGCAGCAGAGGAAGGATTGATACCTATTTGAAAGTTTGATAGTAGTTTAATAACATTTTTATTTCTTTATAAGAGAAAAAACCCTGCATCTAACACACTATCCACATGCTGTTTATTGTTTATGCTATGGCTGACTGCATAATGGGATCAGCTTATTATACCAACTCAAACAATGGGACGATTCCAATGTAGCTGGCCAAGGCAGCTAAAGGGGAACTGATAGCCACTTTATATATAGAGTAGAAGACAACCGTGCTGGTTGAAGGCTCCCAACACTGCTGGCATTCACTATTCTTTGTTATGAAAATACTCTGGCTGCAATCTTGACCAGTACTAGACATAGACAGCCAGTTCTGTAACTGTTGCTGAAGAGGATAGAAGGAAAATATTAAAATGAAGAACTGCTATATTTTAAGTCAAATATATTACCAAATAGACAGCAGTAGGGAAGAGAAAATGAGCTGTGTAGCAGAAGGCATAGCCACACTGCAGGCTGCAGCATAGTACAGAGATACCCACACTAGCTCAGGTATCAGAAGTAGTCTAGCCAGGGCCACCTGGAGCTCAGTGTGATTAAGAAGCATGGAACTCCTTGGCCATGGACAAGCATGTTGCTTTTGTAGCAGTACAAAAGTAGAGTGGTATAGAGATCCAGACAGACATGCAGACCTCTCAGCTAGAACACTACCTTGTTGTTGGCAGTCCCTCCATATGAAGAGGATCATTTTCCAGTAAATAATGTCATTGGTGAGTCCAGAGATGACTGTGTGAGGAAAGAGAAGAACCCTAGGGAAGTAAATTGGTCCCACCTGAATTGCAAAGAACTCCGCAGGGCTCATTCTTCACCCAGTGTTTCAGGAGGGGAGGAGGAGTCAGCCAGAACTCCAGGAGACCCGGGGCAGGCAAAGCCAGAAACCGGAAGTGGCTGACTCAGGCAGAGACACGGCAGGGATAGCCGAAGGCACTGAGAAAGCAACAGAGACCGGGTTTAAGAGAAGCAGGTCTGCGGAGGAAGCTGCCAGGGGAGAGAACCCTGAAGGAAATGACTGGAGAGAAACTGAAACTGCCACAGGGCAATTAGAAGGTACCGTAAAGACATTAATAGCAGGGCTGAAGAAAAAGGGTAACATAAAGTTAGGAATATAAGGGCAGGAAAAGCGCCAGTTTGTTTTCATTCTCCTTTTCGTTAGAGTGAGAGGGAAGTCCTCCCAGATCGATAGTGCATTTACAACTATTGGGACAACAGGCCAGTAAAAGAACTGGCTAGGATTAATGGCAGGTCTGTACAAAGCTCTAAGCCAGGTGAAGTACAACCGGACCCATCTGAGCTATTGATTGGCCAGACCTAGAGACCTACAGAGCATTTTGTACTGCTTGGAGGCAGTTTGTCTAGACTACTGGATTAACACCTGGTAGAACGGGTGAGGGTGTAGGGGTTGGTGGAGCCCTCACTACACTAAGACAGATTTCAAGAGCGACAGTGTCAAAACCCACACGCCCCGGCTTTCTATTTTCTCCCATAACAAGAAGTCGTGACAGGAGAGATCGTGGACGTGTGAGAGAGTCCAGCAAGATGTCGCGGTGGACTTCAGCCCGCTAGCCGAGATGCTAAAACTGTCTTGGTGCAGAAGACAGAGTAAGAAAGAGAAGAAAGAGAAAACAAGGTGATGAGCACCAGAGACTGACGAAAACATAGACCGATAGAGACAAGCCTCTACCCCAGATAGGGCCAAGGTT